ACTCTGCTATAAACATTTAATTACAGGTCCTTGTATGGAGAAATAACTTTCATTGATCGTCAATGCACTTTTTAGGGCTGGAATTGCTGGAGTGCGTGGCATGATAAGCAGAACAGTGTCCCCTACAGATCTTAATCTCCAGACTCTGAATGTCAGGGTACGTGGCAAAGGGGAACCTGGGTTGCTAGTCAGCAGACAGGAAGACGGTGCCGGTGGGCCCAGCAAGGGCGAGGGCAGGGGAGAGGGAGACGTCAGACCGACGCAATGTGAATCAACGCAGCATCGCTGGCTTTACAAAGGGGCTGGGGTCCGGAGCCAAGGAATGTGGGTGGCTCCCAGAAGCTGGAAAAGGCCGAGATTCTCCCCTAGAACACAGCCCTGCCCACACCTTGATGTTAGCCGTGTCAGCTCTCTGCCCCCAAAGCTGTAAGAATACTGTTACTTTCGGCCACTAAGTTAGTGATAATTTGTGAGAACTCCCACCAGCAATGGAGAATAATCTAGTCATCCTATAGCCTTTGATGGGGGAGGGGAGAGCATCAGGTGAGTTATCTTATTTTTTAAGTATGTTTTTATTGATTTTTTAGAGAGAGGAAAGGAGACAAACATCGATGGGCTGCCTCCTGCACGCCCCCTACTGGGGATCAAGCCCACACCCGGGCATGTGCCCTGAGCAGGAATCAAACCAGTGACCTCTCAGTCCATGGGACCATGTTCAATTCACTGAGCCACACCGGCTGGGCTGCTGTTTTTTTTCATTTTTCGTTGTTGTTGTTGTTGTTCAGATAGAGTGAGAGGGAGAGAGAGAGAGAAACATCAATGTGAAAGGGGTACATGGAATGGTTGCCACCTGCACGACCCAACCAGGGCCGGGGACAAACTGCAACTGAGGTACGTGCCCTTAGCGGGAACTGAACCCAGGTCTCTCTGGACCGCAGGCCGATGCTCTAACCGCTGAGCCAAACCGGCCAGGGCTCTATTTTGAACTTTAGCCATTCCAAGCCTCTTTTCATTCTTCTTGTTCATCCTTGTCATGCCTTATCAATCTTACTACTCTTTTAAAATATAAGAACTTCCAATCATTTTTTTCTATTCCATTAATTCCTCTCCTCATCTATATTATTCTTTAGGCTTAGTTTACTCCCCTCTTCATAACTCTTTGAGATAAATGTGTCGAGTATTGGTTTCCAGCCTTTTCTGTCTTAACTAGCACTTAGGACGATAGATTTTGGCTCTAAGAATGACCTTAGCTGCTTCTCCTGTTATGTTATATAATATTTTCATTACTACTCACTTTGAAGTGCTTTCCACTTTCCTTTTTGATTTCTTTTCTGACCCATAGGTTATTCAGAAGCGTATTTCTTAATTTCTAAACATATAGGGGTATTTTGTTACTAATGATTTCCATCAACTCTGTGATCAGAGAGCAGTCTGTATGGTATAACGCTTTATAAGGTATTAAGGCTTGCTTTGCAGTCAGTTTTCATAGGTGTTCCAAGAATACTCGAACAGTCTGTATTCTGTGATCCGTGGGTATTGTTCTGTGTCTGTTCACCAGGCCAAGGTTGCTAAATGTTTTCAGTGCCCCTGTATCTGTGCTCACCTGCGGTCTGCGTACTCCATCATGTACAAGAGGCCTGTTGAAATCTCCCCGAGTGTCAGCTTGCTATTTCTCCACGTATTCGCTTCAAGTTTTGCTTTAAATATGCCAAGGCTATGACATTGCATACAAATTCTGAATTGTTACATATTCTCTTATTTGAAGTGTACATCCCTAACAATGCTTTATCTTAAAAGTATTCTTCGCACACGGAAAATACAGCTACACATTAGCTTCTGGCTCGAGTTCACATGGCAGCCTTTTCCCGTCGTCTGTCCACAGAGATGTTTTAGACCTGTCTGTTGCGAAATACACATAGCGGTGTTAAAAAAAACTTTTATCTAAAAAAAATTTAATGTAAGTGGTTTCTGGTGGTCATAGCTACTTTATTTCCTTTATTTTGGATGATCACTTATTAGAGTTTTCTGTGTCCGCTTGAAAAGCACACGCGCTGCCTTACTGCCTCACGTTAGCTGGCAGCTGGGACTTTCTCCTCCTCCTCGTGCACACTCATCCGCCCGCGCTCCCAGCTACCAGGCCACTGCAGGGTTGTATTTTAGCTCTTTATATTTCTAACCTGGCATATTCATTGTTTTAGTCATTCTTCATTTAGATTTATCCATGTAATGACCACTTCCCTTACTACACTCCTTTCTGCATTGGTCTTTTTTAACACAATTTGTGACATTGTACCCTGTGTGAAGAACTGGCCCGGACTGTGGTCTCTGTAATGAGGCACCTGCTCCCCAGTTTCTCCTCCAGCACATTCCCCCCTCAGTTCTGGAGCAATGGCTGACCCTGTGAGGTCGTCTTTCCGCGGACGCCTGGTCTGCTCCCTACCCACCTCTGAAACCTCACCTGGCTCATGTCCCACATCTCCCCATACTCCATCCATGCAGCTACCTTCCGGAGCTCAGAGCCCACCCACCGTTATTCCTGGGCCTGGCTGCCTCTCCCCACCCGTAGATGCAGCTGTGCCCCTGGGCAGGGGCGGGAGCCTCAGACCCTGACGGACAGATCTGCTCTGTCCTCCTGCGCTGCCCCCAGCCCAGGAGGCCCGGGGCAGTTCATCATCAACATGCGAATAATCACAATACCGGTACCACTTTTTCCTGGGTGTGGTTCTGAAGCTGAAATCGCAGTCTGTGTAAAAACAGCTTTGAGTCCAGGGCAGTATGTACAAAGGTTAATGGTTGGTAGTGAGAGGCGATTGTATTCTAGGCCTTATGGGAAAAAACAGAAACAACACATGCCTAGCTCTGTTTTGATTCTGGAAATACCCAGTCAAGCATCATTGGATAATAACGCAGTTTGTAAGAATTTGAACATTACGGTGCAAATGTGTTTACCCTTTTCTTTGCAGCACTTTTATTTATTTATTTATTTATCCTCACCTGAGGACATTTTTTTGTTCAGATAGAGAGGGGGAGGAAGGGAGGGAGGGAGAGAGAGAGAGAGAGTGAGAGAGAGAGAGAGAGAGAGAAACATTTTTGTAAAAGAGACACATCGACTGGTTGCCACCCACACGACCCAACCGGGGCTGGGGACAAACTGCAACCGAGGTACGCGCCCTTAGGGGGAACCGAACCCGGGTCTCTCTGGACCGCAGGCCTACGTTCTAAGGGCTGAGCCAAACTGGCCAGGGCTACAGCCCAACTTTTAGAATAAATCACACAAGAAACCCCAAAAGACGGCGCGTACGATGCGCTTCTGGCAGTGCAAAGGCGCGAGACCTCCTCACGGCGGGGTCATTAGTGCGCCCCGTCCGGTGTGGCGCCTCAGGTCGCCTTCCACAGCCCTTTCTACTGGAAAGCCGCAGCCCTCGGTTAGAACGTGCCAATCACCATCGGGCATTGAAAAGTAACTTTATTAAAATGTAGAACAGTGTCTCATACAGAGTCGGACAGGACAGGGCTGGGTAGCCTGGGCGCCGAGCTTCTGGGAGGGCCTCCCTGGCTGCCACGGGGCTGTGCGCGGACCTGGCCGCGGGGACCGGCTGGCCTGTCACCTTCGGGCCGGGCTGTGCGCGGACCTGGCCGCGGGACGGGCTCGCCTGGGGCCTTCGGGCCGGGCTGTGCGCGGACCTGGCCGCGGGACCGGCTCGCCTGCCGCCTTCAGGCCGGGGCTGTGCGCGGACCTGGCCGCGGGGACCTGGCCGCGGGGACCGGGCTCGCCTGGGGCCTACTGATCCTGAGAAGAAAGCTTAGAGCTTTTTCCGTGACACTGAGCACTCCCTTCACCACCGTTTAAAAAGGCTAAGAAACACCTGTGCATTTCAAATGTAAAAACGGAAAGTGAAGTATTTGCCCAGATGAACTGTGCTGGAAAAGGAAGGTTTTATTTGCAATTTACACAACTTCACTGAAAAGCACTGTTCAGAATCTAACACCAGCTCAGTCAAACTTTCTGTTGTCTGAAAAACACTGCTAATATGCCTGTTTTAAAGTGATCCAGCATGTAATTAAATGTACTTTGATAAAACGTTTTTTACAATGATAGTTTGTAAACAGAAAAGTTAATGTAATTTAAAAACACTTCAGTAAATATGCAGATACATTTTATTTGTCAAGAGTAAATGTCAGCTTTATTTAGAATATTTTAGTACAAAATTAAAAAATTATATACCTATGACTGTTAAGGAAAAGTTAATTGTTCTGAGAATACTACTAAGGCACTGATATGAATTATCTAAATTTTTATATCTTTAATATTCAGATGTTCATAGCTATTTTCTTAAAATGTATTTTAGTAAGGCAATTCAATCTTATTTTTCCCCCCTTGAAGACAGAGTTCTAAGAACAAGTATGCAATACACCCTAATAAAAACACTGTGATAATACCCAGGTTCAAAAGCATGTATCCCTAGAAACAGGGTTTCTATACTGGGATGTTTTTACTTTTACACACATTTTTTCCATCACAATAATACATCAACCACAAGGTGTACTGACCCATGTAAGGCCATCCATCAAGTTACATAAAATTCGATACAAAAGCTTAGGATGTTACCAACTGGACAATTCTATCAAAAAATGTAAAAGTTGTATAAAAATATTGAGAGGTTAGTTTCAGGTACATAATACATTTTAAAGCATATTCTCAAAATGCTACTTTTAGTATGTACAACACAAAGGTTCATCTCAGACTATAAATGCAGTAGGACAGCACCGGAGCGAGGCTCTCGGGGTACGGCGACTCGGGGCCCCGCTCTGCAGTGATGGGGGGGCAGCCCCCGCCTCAGCACACACCTGCGGCTTACAGACTTCTCCCAACAGTGGGTATGTAAGAGCTACCATCCACTCTGGTTTATGTATCGATCTTACACTGAAAAGCATTTTTCCATGAGTGGCAGTAACTGTGGCCCACACAGAATATATGATAACAGCAAATAAAGAGCAAGAAAACCACAGCATACTTCTAACGTTTTAATAGCGTTTGCTTGTGATGACCTTCTGTGAACTGGAACTTTTGTTTTACATAAAATTGGAGCTGGAAAGAGAAAAAAAACAAACCTTTTGATTGGTACAGTATAAAACTATAGAAAACAAAAATTACTAGAATCATTAGTTTTACAAAGCTCTTCCAGAAAGAGCAAAGAAAGGGAAAAAACCCCACCAAACTGTACTTTCTTGATGAATTGTGAGCTCTCAGAAAACGACGGTTTGGACCTGATCTTGCCAACAGCTCCCAAGGAGAGCAGGTGGCCAACAGCTCCCACAAGTTAAGTAAACTTTCATACATAAAATAAATATGGGGGAACCCAATTTTAGTAACACTAGATTAAGAAGGTAAAAGTTTCTGTAGCTTTGTAATTCAAAACATAATGAAAAGCTCTAATAAATTATATTTATAGTTTATCTTTTAAAAGCCATTGCTTGAATAAACATAGCTATTATGCATCATAATATTGTTTTGGCAAAGACTGGATGCTCACTATGTATCAGGCACTGACCTGGACTCTGGGGATGGATACATCCATGAACAGAACAGATCCATGCCCTCATGGGCTTGTATTCAAAGTTCATACATAACAATTCCTCTTTCTTCCCCCACAAATCCACCGAAACCCCGTGGACTTAATTCTCCATAGTTCAGAACCAGAAAACGGCCATGGCTCAGCATGACGTGTTCCGAACTGTTCTGAAGAGGAGTTACGAGCTGAGGATGTGGGACGGCAACCGGGCATGGTCACACCACAAGCGTGGCTCTGGGGGGACATCAGGAGGACAGAAGCTGCTAGAGCAGAGACAGCTGGAGAAACAGGCAAAGACCACGGAGGGGCATTCTCAACAGGACAGTCAGAAAGGCAAACTGACAAGGACATTTCAAGCGGGAGAAATAAAAGGACACAAAGTACAAAAGAGGAATAAAGCCTTATTTTCTTGAACTTTGGTAATTTGGATCGTGACACATACCCCGAACCTAAAGCCTTGAGAATCCCATCCAAGTGCTACTCGGGCTGCCCCATGGCACTGGGCCCCTCTCTACCTTCCTCTGCATCTCTGCGTCCAAAGCTGGTCTCAGAAGCTCTGACATCAATGCACAGGAGTTCCAATAGGTAGCCCGATTCCCTTATTGAAATAAAAATTCTCACAAATCATTATCAGTAGAATTGGTTCGAATGAAGTGAACCCAAGAATCAGTACTTTGAACCAAGCTCTAGCTCACAGCTGTGGCTCACGGGCAGTGGCTTCTGGTGCAGGACACTCAGCAGGTGCTGCGTGCCCCAGGCCACGGCTGGCTGTGCAGCGCGGGCCGACTCCCCCAGGCAATGGGTGTACTGTATCCTGTGGTGTGCTTTTTACCTTGTGATTTTTTTTTAGTTCACTCATTTTGCCAAATATTGAATGAGCACCGAGTATGTGCCAGGTGCTGTTCTAGGTGCCAGGGAGGGAGCAGTGGCCGAGAGGCGAGGTGTGTGCTCAGGGAGCTACATGCAGCCACAGGAGGCAGACAGGACGAGGAAGGGACAGGGAGCAGCTGTGAAGAGCACAGAGGGCACAGACGGAGGGGGCAGAGGCCTCGGGCTGCAGATGGCTTACTTCTTCCGGTCCTTGTCCTTCTTCAGGTTGCTGCCCGAGGCCAGGAAGGTCTGGTTCTGGTAGATGTCAGAGGTAGCTTTCTTTTTAGAGAAAGAGACAATTTCTTCTTCCAAAAGTCTTCTCTTCTCTTCAAGCTTCACTCTCTCCTCCTGGTGAGCTCGTTTGAGGTGCTCGAATTTGGCCTGTAGCTGGGAACAAAGGTGCAGTTCTGAGCCGTGACAGAGCGGGCCGCACAGGGCTGCCGTGGCTCAGGGCACAGTAACCTACTCCAGCTTCCCCGTCTCAAAGGGAGCTGCTTCCGGAAAAGTTTACGTGTCAAACTGCCTTAGTAACTTTTATTTTAAGTTAAGTTCCCATGCAAAAAAATGCATGAATAAAATATAAAACCATGGCTTCACGAACAAACTTCAACTTTAAGTCCTCACTCAAGGATATTTTTCCACTGACATTTTTTTTTTCAGATAGACTGGGAGGGAGGGAGAGAGAGAGACAGTGATGTGAGAGAGGCATCGATTGACTGCCTCCTGCAGGACCCTGACTAGGGCTGAGGATCAAACCTGCCACCCAGGTACGTGTCCTTGACCAGGGAAGGACCAAGACCATCTGGTCCATGGGCAGACCCTCTAACCGCTGAGCCAAACTGCCAGGGCAGCAAGTGTCAATTGTCAATTAAAATCAAGAACCTTGAAAATCTATTATATTTTCCAGTCACTGACCTTCTTGAAATTTAAACTAAATCAAGAAAACCTAGATTCAGAGAAAAATGTTCACTGTAGAATTTACCCATAATGGAAAAACATAGCCTGTGTCTAACAGAAATAAAGTAAAAAAAACCCCCAAATTTACGCTGAATAAACTCAACGCAGCCAATAAAATGAGTTTTAAAGAAGCCTGCAACATCACAACATGAGACTCCCTGGCCTCGCTGTTGATCTGAGACATCTGGGCCTGCAGTGGGCTCCGCACGAACCCCTGGGGCGACGACGAATGTCCAGGACTCCCGGGACAACTTTAGCTGTTGGATGCCAATAACGCCTTCGTTAGTTTAACATGTATTCAAAAGCACTTGATTCACAAAAATAAAATTCTAAAAGCACCTACTGACAAACAGTATTTTTCTTTCAATCACTTGGTCACCTGAATTTTAAATTTCCTTTTAAGTAATAAACATTTAAGCAAAATATTCTTATGTGGGATTTAAAAAATTTAAGCCATCTAAAACCACAACTCCTCCCGGAGAAACTAAGACTCCCGAGGCACGAGGGACATCGAGAATCCCTCCACACCACCGTAAAGACGGACCCACCAATGAAAAGATACACCATATCCTATTTCCTGCTCATCACAACTCCTTCCTCAACATTTGTATTTTAAAATAACTACAAACTTAGCAACTTGTTTAAAAGAGAATAAAAAGTTTAAAGAAACAGCCCTGGCTGGTTTGGCTCAGCGGTTAGAGCGTTGGCCAGTGGTCCAGAGAGACCCGGGTTCAGTTCCCGCTAAGGACATGTACCTTGTTTGCAGTTTGTCCCCGGCCCTGGTTGGTTGTGCGGGTGGCAGTCACTCGATGTGTCCCTTTCACGTCGATGTTTCTCTCTCTCTCTCCCTTCCACTCTATCTGAACAAAAAATGGAAAAATGTCCACAAAAAATGGAAAATTGTCCTCGGGTGAGGATAAAAATAAATAAATAAATAAATAAAAGATTAAAGAAACAATACTGAAATGCAATATGAGACCTGCGATTTAATTCTGGTTCAGAAACAAAAACAAAAATGCACCAACCACAAATGCACCAACCTGGCAGGTCTGGTTCAGTGGTCAGAGCATCGGTCTGCAGACCAGGTAGTCCTGAGTTTGGTTCCCTCTAAGGGCACATACCTCGGTTGCAGTTTCTCCCTGGCCCTGGTTGGGGTTGTGCGGGTGGTAACCAATTGATGTGTCTCTCTCACATCGACATGTCCCTCTCTCTCTCTCCTCCTCCCTCTCTCCCTTCCGCTCTAAATGCAAACATATCCTTGGGTGAGGATAAAAAAAAAAAAAAGCACCAACCAAGAAGAAACAATGACAGACAATCCTGAGACACCTGGGGAAATCTGACTATGGACTGGAGAGTGGGTGGGACTACGGCATTTCCAGGAGTACTCAGGGTTAGATGGTGCTGTGGTCATGAAGAAAAGCACACTGCAGCTTCAGAGGTGGTGCTGATGTGCCCCAAGACAAAGTGCCACCATGTCTGCAGCCAGCTTTCAGATGGCCAGGGAAAAGCCACACGTGTGCGTGCAGGCACATACACAGGTACACACATGCACACACAGATGCGCACACAGATGCACACACACAGGTGCACCACACACATACAAGGTGCACACACACACAGGTGCCACACACATACGCACACCTGCGGAATACAGAGGGCAGAACGGTCACTGCTAAAGCTAGGTGTGTGGGGTGACCCGAGGCACTCTGCTTTCTGTTCTGCTATCTGAACTTTTGCAAAAGATCAAATTCAAATTAGGATATATTAGTAGATTATTAATTTTACAAAACCACTTACTATTTAAATATCAAGTACTGCCCTGGCCGGTTTGGCTCAGCGGTTAGAGTGTCAGCCTGCAGTCCCGAGAGACCCGGGTTCGGTTCCCGCTAAGGGCATGTACCTGGGTTGCAGTTTGTCCCCGGCCCTGGCTGGTCGTGCGGATGGCAGCCACTTGATGTGTCCCTTTCACGTCGATGTTTCTCTCTCTCTCTCTCTCTCTCTCTTCCTCTCTCTCCCTCCCACTCTACCTGAACAAAAAAATGAAAAAATGTCCTCGGGTGAGGGTAAAAATTAAATATCAAGTACTGTAAGTGTACTTCAAATAATAAATTTATAGAATTACAAGTAACTCCTCAGGAACTCTCATGTCATAGAGTTCATCTGTGTTAGCGTGTGCGTTCACCCGCGCCAGAGTGTGCGTTCACCTGCGCCAGCGTGTGCACTCACCTGTGCCAGCATGTGCGTTCACTCGTGCCAGCGTGTGCGCTCACCGTGCTAGCGTGTGCGCTCACCCGTGTCAGCGTTCACCCGTGCTAGCGTGTGCGTTCACCCGTGTTAGCGTGTGCATTTACATGTGTTAGCATTTGCGTCTTCTCTCAATGACCCCTCTGCAGCTCGTCCCTCTGAGCCCCACCACGATGCGGCCGTGACCCAGAGGCACGCACTGCGCTCAAGTCTGCAGACCGACAGGAAGTAGCTCCACACATAAAACTGCCAGGACAGCCTGGGCACGAGCAGCAGACACAGCGACAGGGACACTGCTGGTGTAGAGCTGCGCCAAGGGGCACCTAGACCATCGATTTATCAGAAAGCCTGAGTTCAACTCCAAAAGCCACTTAAATAGTCTTTATAGTTACCCATTTCACAGCAAAACAATCCAACATCTCTCAGAAACGGCTCTGGCGAGCCCACGCTGAAACACTCTGGCTCACGTGAAGAGAGGCGAACACTTCGTAAGCTGGTGCATCACACGCCCTTGGTGAGCTGCTGCTAAGGATCACCATTTGCTCATAAAGGCCAACACTTTTATTTTATTTCAGACTATGATTTTTTTTAAACTGTGTGTTAAAACAACTAGTTTTTAAAAATAAATCTTTTCTTTATTGATTTTAGAGAGAGAGGAAGGGAGAGGGAGAGACAGACAGAAAGAACAATGATTGGCCACCTCTTGCATGCCCCCCAATGGGGATTGGGCCCACAACCTGGGCCTGTGCCCTGACCAGGAATCACACTAGCGACCTCTTGGTGCATGGGTTGACGCTCAACCACTGAGCTACACCAGCCGGGCAAAACAGCTAGATTTTTTTTTTATCCTCACCCGAGGACATTTTTCCATTTTTTGTTCAGATAGAGTGGGAGGAAGAGAGAGAGAGAAACATCAACGTGAAAGGGACACATGGAGTGGTTGCCACCCACATAACCCAACCAGGGCTGGGGACAAACTGCAACCAAAGTACGTGCCCTTAGCGGGAACCGAACCCGGGTCTCTCTGGACCGCAGGCCGACGCTCTAACCGCTGAGCCAAACCGGCCAGGGCCCAAACAGCTAGCTTTTAAAGAAGAACAAGTAGTCTCCAAATGCATCTCAGCCACACTCTTGAGATCAAGTCCCGGAGTGGTAGGAACTGAAACACACCCGCCCCAGTGAGGCAGTGGACTTGCCTCTCTCTCGGCTTCTTTCAGGATGGCCTCTTTCTCCTTCACCCGCTGCACGAACATCTGCTTCATCTCTTCTTCCTTCCTCTGACGCTCCCCATAGAACTCGTGTCTTTTGGCTTCGTAGGTCTCCTGAAGACTAAAAAGTTTTGCAGTACTCTCATGTTAACAATACGGGTAACAAACCTGCAAACACTCGAACATCTCAGGTTGTCTCAGCTGTGACATGTGCCAGTCCGCTCCCTCAGAGACTCGGCACCCCCCACCCAAGGTCTCCTCCCTCGGGAGCCACGCGGAGCCACCGCGCCACAGCGAACAGAGCGCGAGAAGTTTGAAAACCGCTGCATCAACCCTTCACAGTAAGTCCTGTCCTCTACCCCAAAGGAGTCCCTCTCAGTCCCCGCTCACTGGCATCGCTGTGCCTGGCAACCTCCGAGTCCTGGAGTCGCTGGACTCCGCCCTCACCCCATCTCCACACCTGATCACCAGGCTCTGCGGGTTCAGCCTGTGACGAGAAACAGCATCCACATCCCGTCTGCTTTGCGCTCTGCAGCTATCCTGTTGCTGCCCACTGCTCTGGGGCGCTGTCTTCGCTGCGGCCATCTCCCAACGGAGCTCCCCTGAGGCCTCTCCCCAGAACCACAGCTCACTGCCGGTTTCCTGCATCAGTCTGCCCTCGACAGAATAAGGTCCCACCTCCTCCAGAGAGCACTTAGGAAACCTCACAATGTGGTCTGGTTCTGCCTTTCCAGACTCACCCCTGACCAAAGGAATCCAAACCGCCTTAGGTCCCAGCCACACCCCACGCTACGCTTCAGTTTGCTGCGCCTCCTCTGCTTCCAAGCCACTGCTCCCCCACCCCACCCTCCCGCCCCATTCTACCCAGCTCTTCCTCAAGGCCAAAGGCAAATGCCCGGTCCACTAAAAGCCTCTGGGTGCCAGCTGGAACGCACTGCTCCTTCCCAGCACGTCCGGGCGCCGTGCTCCCTGGCGTCTGCACCACCTGCCTCTCCGAGACCGCTGTCTGCAGCTGGCTCAGTTTCTTCCTAAACGTTCATTTAATGACAGAAATTGTCAGGGTGTAGAGCTCAATTTAACCAAGCACAGCAAGGACTGCCCAATCAAACAATGTGATGAAGTAAGAAATTTTAATAATTTTAGATACTGTATAACTGGAGAAGTAAACCTTTCAGTACAGAATCGTAAGTTCCAGGAGAAACAGATGCTGCAGAGTAGTCACCACGGCCGCCCGTGGGCCTGCGGCAGGCACACCGGTCCTCTGAAGGGGCAGAGCCCAAACTCGGACAGCGCAGGACGGATCATGCTCGGTGAAGACAAGAGACAAGTACCCTGTGACTTCACTCACACGTGGAACCCAAAGAACAACCGAAACTAACAAGGCAGAAACAGACTCACAGATACAGAGAAGAGACTAGAAGCTGGGGGGGGATGGGGGCAGGGTGGAGCTGGGCTGAAAAAGGTGAAGGGATTAAGGGAAAACAAAACAAAAACCTCACAGTCATGGATGGCAAGGTGAGTGCCAGAGGGAAGGGTGGGGAGTGGGAGGGGATGGGGGAGGGGTGTGATGGAAGGGGATATGCCAGAGGGAAGGGGGTGGGGGAGTGGGAGGGGATGGGGGAGGGGTGTGATGGAAGGGGATGTGCCAGAGGGAAGGGGGTGGGGAGTGGGAGGGGATGGGGGAGGGGTGTGATGGAAGGTGAGTGCCAGAGGGAAGGGGGTGGGGAGTGGGAGGGGAAGGGGGAGGGGTGTGATGGAAGGTGAGTGCCAGAGGGAAGGGGGTGGGGAGTGGGAGGGGAAGGGGGAGGGGTGTGATGGAAGGTGACCGTGCCAGAGAGGAAGATGGGTGGGGAGTGGAGGGGAGATAGGGGGAGGGTGTGATGAAGTGTGCGTGCCAGAGGGAAGGGGGGGGGGTGGAGGAGGAGTGGTGTGATGGAAGGTGAGTGCCAGAGGAGGGGTGGGAGTGTGATTTTGGGGTTGTAGCTGGAAGGTGCGTGCCAGAGGAAGGGTGGTGGGGATGGGAGGGAAGGGGGAGGGGTTTGTGATGGAAGGTGATGCTTGCCAGAGGGAAGGGGTGGGGCAGTGGAGGGGACGGGGAGGGTTGTGAATGGAAGGTGAGCTGCCAGAGGGAATGGGAGTGGGGAGAGTGGGAGGGCAGGGGGAGGGTGTGCATGGAGGTGAGTGAGTCCAGAGGGAAGAGGGGTGGGGAGTGGAGGGAAGGGGGGGGGAGTGTGATGGAAGGGGATGTGCCAGAGGGAAGGGGGTGGGGAGTGGGAGGGGAAGGGGGAGGAGTGTGATGGAAGGGGATGTGCCAGAGGGAAGGGGGTGGGGAGTGGGAGGGGAAGGGGAGGGGTGTGATGGAAGGGGATGTGCCAGAGGGAAGGGGGTGGGGAGTGGGAGGGAAAGGGGGAGGAGTGTGATGGAAGGGGATGTGCCAGAGGGAAGGGGGTGGGGAGTGGGAGGGGAAGGGGGAGGAGTGTGATGGAAGGGGATGTGCCAGAGGGAAGGGGGTGGGGAGTGGGAGGGGAAGGGGGAGGGGTGTGATGAGTGATGGAAGGGGATGTGACTACAGTGTACAGACAATGCACACCTGAAACCTGTATCATTTTGTTAACCAATGTCACCCCAATAAATTCAATAAAAATTTAAACAGTAAAGCTTATAAATGTACGAAATGCTCTCAATAACCACATAAATGCTTCAAATCTCATTTCACTCTTTACCAGGTTTCCTGTTTTTCTGTGTCTGTTTCAGTCTTGGTTTTTTTTTTATCCTCACTTGAGGACATTTTTCCATTTTTTGTTCAGAGTGGAAGGGAGAGAGCGAGTGGCTGCCTCCTGCACGACCCAACCAGGGCCGGGGACAAACCGAAACTGAGGTACATGCCCTTAGCGGGAACTGAACATGGGTCTCTCTGCACCCAGACTGATGCTCTAACCGCTGAGACAAACCCACCAGGGCTGTTTCAGTCTTGTTTTAAAGAAGCCTCTCCATGCACCCTTTTCAGAAACGTCCCCACATACTGCTGGTCCCACACCGGTCGGTGGTCTTGAACGACAAACTTGGTTTAAATATGTCTTGAATTCATATTAAATGTAAATTTTAAAAAATTCTCATTCATCTATGTAAGCACTCGAGTTGCTTAGAGGAAAACACATCCAGCCAGCACGAAGACCTCGCGTCCACTAAACAGCGGCCAGCAGCCAGGCGCTTTCCAGGCCCCAGCACCGAGCTCCCTGGCAGCCAGCGGCGACGGAGGAACAAGGTCTGCACTCTTCACAGGCTCAGAGAGTCAGGTACCGCGGGGAGGAGCACAGCTGGTGAGTCAGAAGCTGGGAGGAGCGGGCGAGCTGTCGGAAGCCACACCCCGCACGTCTGTCGGGTAGTCTGTGAACAGACCCCCTGAAGTCTCCAGAAGGCAAAGGGCCCGCTGTGCCCGTTCCCACCCGCCACAGCTCTCCAGGCCGGGCGAGTACACCAGGCTACCAGCCACTGCCGGGGTCTGCCCAGCCCCCGAGGTGGTGACGGCCCTCAGGCCTGCAGGGGGTGGGTCAGGACAGTCCGTCTCTGCTCATCTGTGCTGTGAAAGGGACAAAGCCACTGGTCACCACCACGGGCCCCTGATCAAGCTGACATGGAGCCGCGTTTAGTGCTGTGCCGCCCTCCCGGTGCACACAGCTGGGTGTCACAGATGTTAAAGCAACGTATCACTCGGGTTGCAAACACCCCGATCTCCAGCCAGGCTGAGATCCGAACAGGAGCAAGGACTCCCGGACGCGCCTGCTCATCAGGCAGACACCTGCCCCAGGCCCCAACCCCTGAGACCTCCCCGCTTCTGCGTGGGCTGAAGGCTCAGAAGGTGGCGACTTATCTATGGAGACTTTCAAAGATATCACGTTTGATGACACAAGAAACTGTCAAACACGAAAGCAACTACAGAGCTCTCCCGTTCAAGCAATTCCCGGACGGCGACTCGCACTCCGTGTTCAGGGACAGGGCGACACTGGAGTGGATCTGAAGGAACTGGGGCTTCAGGCTCACAACAGCTGTTTTGTACAGATTAACAGCTGATGTTCCGCTAACGAAGATGAGGCCGGCAGATCAGGACAGTGACGGACATTCAGTAACATGCGACCGAAACACGAGCGGAAGGACCGGCGTGAAGGGCTGTGCGGAGAACAGAGGGAAGGCCGTCCCCTGGGTTCGGGGACTGTCTCCTGTTCACGTCTAGATATGAAATTGAGGGAAGACTTACACGCCCACCGAATCACACTAACTTCCGTTATGTACACCCCAAATGAAATGGGAAAGATTCCCCAGAAAGTAGAATGTAATTTCTTGAAAGTACAGAACTAGTCCCTTCCTAAGACATCAGGTTACGGTGAACTACGGAAGCTTCACCAAACAATGAATCCACAAATGAGAAGACATTTCTGCCCCGATTAGAAATCAAGTAGAAAGTCCTTCTGTCCACGGAGAGCAGGCTGGGAAGGGCGAGGCCTCCTCACAATGACACAGGAGTCCCTCCTCGTCTTGCTTGTCCTCTGCAAGCCACCCATACCCCCGCTCCAGACCCGGTCAGTGTGACCTCCGCCCCCCTGTTCCAGACCCGGTCAGTGTGACCTCTGCCCCCCTGTTCCAGACCCGGTCAGTGTGACCTCTGTCCCCTGTTCCAGACCCGGTCAGTGTGACCTCCGCCCCCTGTTCCAGACCCGGTCAGTGTGACCTCTGCCCCCCGCTCCAGACCCGGTCAGTGTGACCTCCGCCCCCTGTTCCAGACCCGGTCAGTGTGACCTCTGCCCCCCGCTCCAGACCCGGTCAGTGTGACCTCTGCCCCCCCCCCCCGCTCCAGACCCGGTCAGTGTGACCTCCGCCCCCTTCTCCAGACCCGGTCAGTGTGACCTCTGCCCCCCACTCCAGACCCGGTCAGTGTGACCTCTGCCCCCCCGCTCCAGACCCGGTCAGTGTGACCTCTGCCCCCCACTCCACATGTGGTCGGTGTGACCTACACGCACCACTCCGTATGTGGTCTATGACCTGGCCGGACCTGAAGAAACCCCTCTCCCAATCTTCAATTCATCTGATATGTCAGCAGGTGCACCCCTAACTGATGAAGTGCTCAAAAAGTGGACGGTCCAAGCTGTCACTGACTCTGACTGCCCACCAACGGCCTCTCTCCTTTCGGCACCATTGCTGACGACCCCTCTCCGCCACAGGACACAGTCTGGTGGGACAGTGAACCAGGGTCATCCCACCCCTGGCCAAACAGGGGACATGGCCTCAGCTGCGGCTACTGAACACTCACAGCACTGCCCTGGGCTATGAGCTGCTGAGCAGAGAACACAAAGGCTGGGAAGGACTTCGGTTCCTTCACTCCACTCCCAGTGCTAGAATAAAACTCCTCCTTGTCCCCGAGGATCTGTAAGTCCTGCCGACGCGATTCCCAGCCCCTGCTGTCTGGAGCGTCCTCGTCACTGTCGGGGAGCTGGGGCAGACGGGCTGCATCCCTCTGCGCTGCTGCCGCTGACCCTCGGCTGGTCCGCAGCCCAGCTCTCCCTCCCGACACACGCTCCGCTTGCTCGTGCCCTCCCTCCTCACCCAGGGCCTCTCCCTCCGCCAGCTGCTTCTCCGGCTGACACTGCTGAGAAACTCAAGGCTGTTTCCACGGCACCTTTCCTTCCAGATGTTCTTCCCTCTCCAAACAACCTCGTCCAGACTCCTACATGCGATTAACTATCGAAACGCCTACGACTCGTATGTTATTGCTTTGACCCCGGCCCTCTCTGAGCTCCAGATCGTAACATCCAAAGGCCACTGACATTGGCACTTGGATGTTTCAGAGGAAAACTCAAAGTCAAAGGTCCACATTCCGCTTGATTTCCATCATGCCAGTTACTGCTGCTCCCCCCAAGGCTAGTCTTCCTCCGAAGACACCTATCTGGATGATGACAGCCATGCAGCCAGCCAATGACACCACGACACAGGGGCCAGGAGTCTTCCTCCACTGGCGCCCCACTCCCCTTTCTCCTCACACCCACAGTGCCAAGGCCCCCCGTCTTTCAAAGAGCTCCGGTGCAGCCAGTTCCATTTTCAGGGCTGACTCGGTCCCAGCAACACCTGACTGGTCCCCCCACCATCTCTGTCCACACCTTTAACACCTGCTTTACCTTACAGCCAGGAGCCGGTATTTAAAATGCAAATACGATCGCCCTCCTTCACTGCCCCGCCTCTCCCTGAGGACAGACCACGCCCTCCCCGCCTGCAAAGTCTGCCCGCCCCCCCTATGCCACCCACTGTCCTCTCTCCAGCTGCACGGACTCTCTTCCAGAGTCTCAAAGGGGCCGCTCGCTCCGGGCCTTCAGCTCTCTCCACCTGTCCTGCTCCTTCCCCACCCTACTACAGCTCCGAACAGTGACTGTCGCAAGGAGGTCTCCCCTAGGTTCCACACTAAACCAGGACGCCCTCCCCCACCTCCCCCACCATTCCCGTCTCCGGTTCAGTGCGCATTTCACAGCTGGGATCTCTGAGATTCGCCATCGGACTTCGCCCTTGCGTACAGGGACGTCAGCGACGCGACAGCCAGGACGTGGTCGCCTTCCGTACTGGATCCCCAGCGCTCAGTCCAGAGCCTTGTAAATAGCAGATACTTTAAAATACTTACAGTTTTACCCAGTATCATTCACTGTTGAATCCAAAAGTTAACTTCTCCCCAAGTTCTAGATTCACTACATAACAACCTACTCAAACTCTTCACCCAAATATTTAATAATTAGCAACTTAAATTTAACAAGTCCCAAACCTCTCAATTACCAACTGCAACACCCCAAACTCTACCCCTTCCCCAGTCCCGCTCATATTAACAAACATCACCACCATTAAGCCAGTTTCGTGGGTCAAACATGGCGGCTGGAGCCATCTGGAGTCCTCTTCCCTCCACACCGTGGCCAGCGCCAGCGTCCCATGACCCTGGCTTCAGGTCGCAGTCCTAGGCGAGCTTCGGACCACCTCTCCTGCACCACCGAACCCGAGCCTCCGCTTTGCAGCCTGGACTGCCACCGCGGCCTGACCTGGGTCTCCCACTCGGACCACGTCCCACACTACTCTCCACACGGGCCCTCCGGCCACCGTCTCCTCAGCTGCACCAGGGCAGGGGCTCTGCTCGCTCCCACAGTGACAGCATCACGCTGGGAGACCGCAGCAAACAGTGAGTATCTGCTGACTGCCTGAACTTGGACGCTTACTTCAAATGCAGACTCTTGGGCTCCATCCCCAGAAATTCTGAACCTGCGTTTGTTGCCATCACAGGTGACTGATGGCTGAGCCACCAGGAAACCCGAGCCCGGTGCTCCGAGTGCTCCGAGGCCGCCGCTCGCCTCGCTCAGGACCGCGTCTCACCAACGCACAGCCCCCTCTGGACTGACCCCTCTGGGAAACCCGGGAGTCAACTTCAGGTAACCGATCTTCCAGAGAACAGGGCCACCTTACCAAAGCTGACGCTGAAGCACAGCGCTCCTGAAGAGGGGAGGAGGAATTAAGTACGCATAATCCTTCATTATGCTTCCAGAGCCAAAACACTAATTAAATCCAGAGACGGAAAACTTCAGAAATCTGACCTCATGTATTAACCCTTTCCCAAGGTCGTGTGAACAGCCTCCCGGGGCACTGTGCCCTCGGCCTCCTGGTTGTGCGGGGCGAACGCCAACAGCCGGGGAGTGACCGCGACGCGCACAATCACCGGAAAGGAACGCCTGGTTCCACAGCAGAGTTTAAAACAGTTTAAAGGCCTCATGCTTTTCTCCATGCGCTGCATTCGACTCGGCTGAGCGTTTTAAGGATCAGTTTCATGTTTACATGTCTTAACTACACATACAAACGAAAGGAATGTAACAAAAAATCACTAAGCAAGTTTATAACATTTAATGCTCATCAGAAGAGGCCATCAAGTTCTAACAGCGTGGAACTGTTGTGGTATCTAACAAAGTCTGATTTCTTACTCCCTCCACGGGCTTCATTCTTCCTTTGTATTCCCCGAATTTAAGTCATTCTAAAACACCCAACAGGACAAAAACCAAGTTTACATTTATTTAATATGATTCCCACGCCAACTTCTTTTATAATAATAAATATGCTCCCATCTTTTTCAGATAAATAAAAAACAGAACTAAATTAAAAGTGTTCTCCTTTAGTTATTCATTTCACCCCACACTGAGACAGTGAGCTCGGGCCACACGCTCCTCCTATGTGACTCCTGAGTCACACGAGGACCCTGAACAGTGAGAAGGCTCCCAGTGAACTGAGAAGCACAGTAACAGATCATCACATGGTTCCAACTTCCTATGGGAGATTTCTGAGAAAGACATCCTCCACCTTCTGGGTACACAGAGGTGCGAACCCTCCACCCTCCTCTGGCCCAGCTCTCGGAGAGCCCCTCACCTGAGCGGCTTGTCCCCGGGGCCCACGTCACTGAAGCCCATCTCCGCCAGCTTGCAGCGCCGGTACAGCTCGTAGTGCCGCGTGTGCGTCTGCTCCCGCAGGTCCTCCATGTTCGTGCAGATGAGCATCTCCCGGAGCTTCACAAAGTCACAGTGGTTCTCGTTTTCCACTATCCCGAGAAACAAGAAACAGCAGCATCAGTTTGTAATTCTAGCCATTAGCGCTTGCTGAATGAATGAGTAAATGAAAATACCTGAAATAACAAACAGCAAAAGGATAAGCTACACTTATTCTATATAAGTAACCCAGGAAGAAACTCAGTGTAACACTACTGAACTACAGTCACCACTAACTCTCGGGCCGGGAGGTCTACTTCAACTTTAGTGCCGATGGATGGCCGGGGAACAGGACAGACACGCACCACATGTCACCATGTGCTCAGTCAGTTCCCTAACACAGGCTAGCAGTTTGCAAACCACCTTTAGGATACTTCAGATAGTGCTTTTAAAAAAAAGTAACATTATTTCACTTCAAAGGAGTCAATTCTGCATACTCCAGAATCCAGTCTGTGTACACTGTAACTATCAATTCTTTCTATACAAGGACACATTGACAATCCTGTGTTAGACAATTAGTTAATAAACGTACATGTCCTCCTATGTGCATAGTGACCAGAAGACTACAAATACACGTTACTGTTTGAGTACCATTGGTTTGTAATGTTTTTATACAGTAAAAATGTTAAATTTTTCATTCGTTATAAAATCTGTTTTTAAAAAGCAGCATTGGGAAACCAGTACTAGCAAGGGCAATCCATTCCTATTAATTACCATCACAAATAAATGAACCAGAAAGTACTAATTACTTACTCATTATAATGCTAAATAAATCCTAACATTTTTCAGTTGGCTGACTGGCTTAATTTGGAAACAAGTGGCAATACTTTATAATAAAAAACACATACATTTATAAGATGGGTTATTGTACCTTAAAATTACCTAGTAGTTAGTTATGTATCATGTTGACACACCATTATTTACACTTAAATTCTGCTCCAGGTGCCCGCCCGGCTTGCCCACCTTCTGCGTGCCCGGTGCACCTGAGCAGGTGACGGGCGACTCTGCCTGGCCCTACAGACGTCACTGGAATGGAACACGCAACCCTCCAACAGCAATCACACTCAGACGTCAGCGTCAGGAAGAGCGCAGTGAATGCTGAGGCCACTGGGTGACAGACACATCTGGTCACCGTTCCCCTCACTCACCTTGCACGACACCCCAAGGGTACTGGCGAGCTTTGACCATCTTATTCCCAACTTTCACCTCGTCCATGCTGCCTACAACAGCAAATGGCAAGTGTCCCTGGAAAGAAACCACAGTGTCAACGACATCTCACCCCAGTGTGGTAAATATAACACAGTTTTGTAAAATAACAGAAAATTACATAAACAGTGAATTTATTGAAATCAAATGATCTGCTCTGCCTCCGATTCCAAAGCCTGCCGGGGGGGCTGGGCCCGCTCGGGTCCTGCTCGGGCGCGGGAAGCACCAGCGCAGGCAAGGCTGTGCTGCGGGGCCAGACAGAAACGGTCCGCACAGGCACGTTCCCCGCAGTGCTATCGTGCCCTGAGGACACTGCTGAGGTTCTCCCTCTCTCCCTCTCTCCCTCTCTCTCTGTATACACACATCTATCAACAGAGTCAGCGTATATCTATATTTAGTGTGTGGACAGATCTACTAATATAAAGTAACATTAAGTCCCAAACTAACGCTAAACACAGCAAGTGTCCTGGGCATTGAGAGAAGTGTGGTAGGTCACTGAGAGCGAGAAGATACAGCCTGGACTAGATAATCAAGCAGAAAGAACTAACTTAGGAAAGGAGGGAAAAATGTCTTCTAAGGAAAGTTATTGATTTTCAGAGAGGAAGGGAGGGAGGGAGACAGAGAGAGACGTCAATGTGCAAACATGTGGCCCTGCTGCCCTGCGCCAACCAGAGGTGGAGCCCGCAACCCCGCGGTGCCCGGGACCAGGACCAAACCAGTCACCTCCTGGTCCAGGACACCCAACCAACGGAGCCACACCATCCAGGGTGATAACTTAGAGTCAATGAGCAGACTGGTCTGTCTGAAGCTGAGGATTCACATGGGAAAAGTCTAATGTAAAAAACATTAAGTATTTTGTTTCATTTTTAATAATTGACATTATTAGCTTCTTAATTGTGCCTTTCTGAAAAATTATTCCAGGTGGACATAGAAATAATATTAGATGTAGAGACACTATGACTTATAAAAATTAAGATCACTTATATTTCTATGTCATTTAAATTAATCACCATTTTATATAGTTAGTTTAAGTATCGTAAAATAAACAGGAGTACCAAAGTCAGAGAAGGAAAACGAGAGAAAGAGATGAACAGTCACTGATGTCACCACGCTCGGGGGTGCACAGAAGCTGTATCCTCTCCACAACCCTTATAGCTATACGAATCCAATTGTGCGGATAACAGTCTTTGGGGAAGTTAGTAACTTCCATAAGAACATATGGTTAAATCTATCTGACTCCAAAAGCCAGGATCCTTCGAAATACAAGCAGATATTGTACAGATCTGGTAGCCCGAAGAAAGTAACACAAGGAGCTTAGTGTCTTCAACTATAATGAACTAGAAGTTACGAGAAGGGTTAGCATGTACATGTGACCCTGCAAGGGAAAAGGTTTAAACACCGGAGAAGAAAGATCTCCTCATAGAGCTTAAGGTCCTACAGTAGCAGAAGGTGACCATAGTCTTCTGCTTTGAGAGACGGAGTAGGAAGGCATCTCTAAGGCAATGAAGTAGGGTTCCACAAAGGGGTATCCCAGTCGCACAATGAATCGCTTTATTTACATGAAAGTTGGGAGGAAAGAAACTCTTCAAAAACAGATCTGCATTATACTTTTCTCAGCTCTGGAAAACAAAACATTTTCCTGTACTGGACTTTTTGAAAATTCAACTTGCTTAGTCTTTTTTGAAGACATAAATGAAGACATATTAGTGGCAATGTTATCTATAAGTTACTTTTTTTGCACGTAAAAGAGAAGTGGGTTCGACTGGGAGCTCACATTCATGGAGGCGTTGATCTTCGCCACAGTTTCGTCATCTGTTGGGAACTGGTAAATCTGGACGCCGTTGCTGACCAGTTCACTCATGAGCTTGATCTTAAACTTCTGCAATTCAGTTTTAGAAATGGCATCTGCTTTGGCGATCACTGGTATAATGTTCACCTATTAAGAATAAAGAAAAACAAAATCTCATCATTGAAGATGTATTTTTTAATCCTGCAGTTTCTACATTCAAAACCACTAAGTCTGACAAATCACCTAACCTGGCTCAGGCGGGCAAACTCCAGCCTCGCTCCCTGCCTGTTCACACAGACTCGGTGTACGCAGCCCGGCCGTCATGTGCACACTGTCTGTGCCACGCTCGGCTACTCCCCGGCCTGCCCCAGAAAAGGCTCGCCAACCTGATCTAGGTAATCCCCAGCTTCCTTACCACACCCCGACACGCCATTCTTCACCGATGCTGTTATAACCTGGACTGCGGTTCAGAAAGCTCGCCTTCTCTCTCAAGGTCTCTTACAACCCTATCACACACATGTAAGTACAATGTAACGTTAAGTTGAGAACCCTGCTTATTCACTAATTTTTTATTTATTACTAATCTAAACACTAAGTAATTAGATGACTGATCCCTCACAAACGGTGAAACAGATGAGGTTTCTCCTCCTGCCCCTCAGGTCAGCAGGTCCCCTTTCCACAAGGCCCCGTGCGGTCTGTGCCCCAGCGTCAGTGACCCCCACAGATGCTGCAGGAAGGAAGTTCTCCGACCACCGTCAAGTGTGATCTGAATCCGATCACTGGCCGGAGAGCAAGATCTGGGGTCATGAGGCCAACATACTTATAAAGCTAATTCTTCAACATTAATGTCTCCATAAAAGATTGATGTCTACACAAATTTAGGGAATTGCAGGTTTTGGTTATTGATTTATTTAGTTTACAGTGAAAAACTTCAGGCTAACTAGTCCTATTAGTCGAGAGAGTGAGATAGCAAGGTAATTTTCAGAATGAAAGTGAAAAGTAAAAATCTTAATTTCTATTCTATTCTTAAATTTCTTTCTTTTCTCCAACTTCACACTGATTTACTAGTCTTAAATATGCACCAATGGAAGTAAAGATTTTTCTAACTATCCATGGAAAAAATGACAGAAATTTTGCCAATAATTGTGGGTAAACAGCTTTCATGTTCAGTTAGCCAAGTTCAGTGTTAGGTGCCCGGATATTCAGTGAGTCAGCCGAGGCACTACGGCTCGCTGGGCCCACAGCAGCAGAAAGCAGGCCGGTGCGAGGGCGTGGCCTTGCGCTAGGACCGCCAGGGTACCCCTTGCAGAGACACTGAACCTGAGTGAGCACACTGGCAGGCGTAAGACAGAGCCACTAGCAGACACTAGAAGGAACCAGGCGGCCCCTCCCGTGAAGCCCCTTCAGAAAGCCCGAGCAAGCTAACACCTGTGCTCCAGTTCCCACGCTCACGCGTTACATTCGCCCAGAGAATAAACCCACAGAACCCGAGACCCCACCATGGGACCCTGACATACGGAGCCCCAGGACTGTCCTCCCTCCCTCCCTCCCTCTCTCCTCCTGGACTCCCTGTGTGGTCCCTGGTGTGCTGTGCACCCCGCAGGGATCTGCAGGTAACAGATCTGTTCCCCAAAGCTCCTGCCAGTTTCTTGCTGAAGGCACCCTACAATCCTGACAGGAGCCACAGGGCTGGCCAGCCGGGCCGGGCGGCTGGGGTAGGGCTCACACTCGAATAAATCCAGCGGGGAAGTACCTCAGCACCCCAGCCCAGAGCATCGCTAGCACAGGCTGGAGGACACAACCCAGACGGAAAGAAAACACAGGAGAATTTGTACAAGGAGGGAAAGTAACAGGTTTCACACTGATGATACGATAAGGTAACTTTCCACGTGAAACAGTGAAGTGTTCTGCTTTTAGAAACAAACAACAAAAGTACCATTTAATTAATGTTCACACCTGCCCCTTGAGATGAGCTTACAACGCCACAGCTTTTCCTGCAGGTGAGGAACCAGCTCAGAGGACTGGAGAACCTGCCTGGGGACAAGCAGCTAGGAAGTGACAGAGCAGTACTCAGAGCCAGCCCCACCGACACCACCCCCCGTGACCCGACCACCCCAGGCCGCTCCCGCCAGCGGGGCACAGCTGCGCACTCCTGCTTTACGTGTTAATAAAGATGAACTTCCCCGCACCAGCCTGGACAGTGAAAACAACTGCTAACTGGCAGAGAAGCTGGGCAGAGGAGCAGACTAACACAAGCTTCCTCGAGTTCTTGCCAAAGCCAGGGCACTGCAACCAGTCCAGTCGACTGACCTGAGCGCCAACAGTCCACTAAGGCTTCACGCCTTCCACACAGCTATCCACGGAGCAAGCGGCCATGGCCAGAATGACCTTGCTTTCCGAAGACTGTCTCATAAAAGTATTAACCAGGACGACGAAGGCGGAATTTCTCATAACATCAGAGGTTACAGAAAGCCAACAGCTGTTTTTTAAAGTATAAGTAGTCTATAACCACCTTTTAAACAAAAAAATCCAAAATCCAAAGTGAGTTAATCTGTGGATAATACTGTATATATAATCTCCGTGGCTCAGAAATTCAAAAATAGGTTTTCTTAGAATAGTTCACACTAAAACACAATTTACTACAATACACGATAAAACGTTATACCTTAATCTTTGTCAATGAACTTCTCACTTGACAGTGTCATAAAGTAACACTAGTGACCAGCAAGCTCCACATCCACACTGGGTCCACGGCCCTTCCACCACGCGTGGGCACGAGAATCTGCGACAGGGAGACGGCCCCACGCCACGCCGCACGGCTCCTGCACCTGAGTCCGCCCAGGCCTGGCCCCTCGGCTCCTCCCTGCACGGGAGAACGGCCAGCCCTGGACGCCCGCCCATCTACACACTGACTGACACAGCACCACCGACGGCAGAGACGGCAAAAACAAGTTTTCAAGTGTTATTAACCCAGTGTGAGGACGGACCTTCTGCCCCGTGTGCACTTACCCTCCACCCCCACACTCTAACAGGACAAGGCCCTCGAAGTTATGTCATCAGACGAACAGCTCGAGCAGGAGGAGAGTCAGTTTTCTGCTTGTGGATGCATTTGCAAGCCAAGGAGAGAGGCTTCCGCAGAAACCAAACCTACTGACACCTTGGTTTTAGACTTCAGCTTCCAGAACTGCTAGAGCGTGAATTTCCGTCATTTAAGCCCAGTGTGTGGCATTTGTTACAGCAGCTCTAGGGAACAGACACCCCCTACATGTCCCAGCGATATCACTCCTGGGTTACAGCCCGGAGAACTGAGATCACGTGACCATGCAAAAATGTGTGCGCCCAGTATTCAGCTGGTGACTAGATAAAAGGCAACATACCCATACAATGGAATATTAGTCAGTAACTAATTAAAAGGAACAGAGTACTGGTATTTTTCAAGAAAATGTAAATGAATTCTCACATTCTAATGTGTAATTTTATCATTTAAAAAGAACTAAAATTTTATGATAAATGTTTTTTGTTTGCATCTCATCTTTCAAACTGAAATTTTTCTGGAGTAAACCTTAGACTGAAACTTAACAAATGTTTTAAAAATGGACAGACTAAGTTAGACATATACCATCATAAAGACATTTCCAAAATTCACAGTAAATATACAGCAGGGTAAGCTGATGCCCCTCCCCCACCTTGCTGTCGAGGCTCTTCATGGTCAAGAGGTCCAGGGTCTTCAGAGAGTGGCCTGTGGGCGAGATGAAGTACAGGCACACGTGGACACGGGAATCGTGGTAGTTAAACAGGGACCGCTTGATCTTCAGTTCCTCTTGGAGGTAGGCCTCGAACTGCGCATCGATGTAGTCCACTATTGGCTGGTAGCTGGAAACATAGTTATTTAAATACTGAATACAACATACTCATGCTACCTTAATAAGATACTTATGTAACTCTTAAAGTTTGAGATCTAGATTTTTATCAATTGATGAACACTTAGTATCTATGAAAAACAGACAACTTTAGTAATAAATGGTGCAAAGCATGCAGATACACAGGCAGTACTTTAAAACCATCAGGACATGTTTTAAACTGTTGTACAGAAATGATACTGCATTTCACCGAGCATTCTCACACTCATTCACATAATGGACCTCTCCTGACAAAGTTCCCACACTTCCTGCTTTACTGATGTGATACTTCCACTTGATGTGTGCCTTTCTCTTTAATATGCTAATGACTTTCATGCCTTACAAATCTGATTTAAGAAGCAAGAAGTCATGAAATATGACTTAAGTATCTTTTTGTGTTTGCTTGTTTTTGTTTTGTGAATCCTCACCTAAGGATATTTTTTCCATTGATTTTTAGAGAGTATAGAAGGGAGGGAGAAAGGGAGGAAGGGAGAGGGAGAGAGAGAATAAAAGAGAGAGAAACATCTGTGTGTGAGACACACACCGATTGGTTGCATCCTGCACGCATCCTGATCAGGTCAGGGAGCAGGGGATCGAACCTGCAACTCAAGTACACGCCCATAACCAGGAATCAAACCCGAGACTCTTCCATGCAAGGGCTGACACTCTAAGCACTGAGACAAACCAGCCCAGGCATGACTTAAGTATCTTTTAAGTTACTGACACTCATGCCTCTCCTCAGTTAGATAACACGCCATGCCCATAGTAATTTGCCCCAGGTTTCCAATTCTGGTAAATTTCAGGACCACTTTTCCAATAAAATGAAAGACACTGGCTTAGAAAAACCATTCCTAAAAATATCCAAGTACTCAGAAAGTGGTAAGGAATTAACCAGGTCACAGTTGAAGAGCGTATACGCCCAGCCAGTGTGACCCAGTCGGCTGAGCATCACTGAGAGGTTGCCAGTCTGATTCCTGGTCAGGGCACATGCTGGGGTTGCAGGCTCGATCCCCAGTAGGGGGCATGCAGGAGGCAACTGATGGAAGTTTCTCTCTCCCTCACCCTTCCCCTCTCTCTAAAAATCAGTAAAAACATTTTATTTAATTGAGGAGAGTGTAGAAACTGAGAGAGGAAAAGGGTCAATAAATGGGCCAAATCTGGCCCGTTTTGTAAGTAAAGTTTTATTGAAACACAGCCACTCCGCTTGTGTACGTACTGTCCATGACTGCTTGTGCTACAATGGAAGGACTAAGCAGTGCAGACAGAAACTATGTCCTTCAAAGCTTGAAGTATCTACTGTCCGGCCCTTCACAGAAAAGGTTCACTAATCCCTGCACTCAAAGCATCAGTGCTAGTTTCATCTTCAGGCCACTTGTCAGTCTGATTCTTCTGAAGGACTTACAAGATGAGAAGCAAGAATCAAAGGCCCACACAGGGGGGAAATCTACTGAGACTGCCTCCCCACATTAAGCTGAGATCCTAAAAGCCCAACCCCTCAGGGTAAGAATGAACTAGAAGTAAATCTATAATTCCTACCCTCTCCCCAAGAATCTAGTACCAAGGAAGGCTACCCTGGTACTAAATGAAGTAGGAAAAATACAAGGAAAGAAGAGGACCCACCGCTGCGAACCCACCGGGCTGGCCCTGGCACACACCTGGCACACACCTGCCACACAGGAGCACTGCCTGACTCTGGGACCTCAAGCCATGAAACAGGTTTCGGGACCCTCAGGGTAGCAATGCCCAGAGGGGCCTAGCAAGCAAACCCAAATCTGTTCAAAGCAAGAGATCTTCATTTTAGACCTCAAAGTATCTCTACAACGAATTTTTCAAAGACCATTAACTGTAATAAAAAATAACTAAGCACCTGAGAAAATAAAAAACACAATGAATGAGAACCAAAGGAAAAAACAAATGTCAGTAAAATAACTGCAAAATTTTAATATACTGGAATTATAAGATATAATTAAGTAGAGATAAAAGAAATAGAAATAAAAGGCAGATTTGAACATCTGTGCTGGGAATAGTAAAGTATAACAAATGATCTTCCAGATAAATGTGAACCTTGCAGAACATACATACACACTTGAAAAACATATCAACCAAAACATAAAATTCAACGGGTTAGTTTAAAAGTATATATTAGACAAAGCTACAGAATTAGTATACTGGAAGATAAATAAAAAATAATTACTCAGAAAGCAATGTCGACAGGGAAAAAAGATATAACTATGGAAGAGACTAAGAATAAGAGACAGGAGTGACATAAAGGGAAGGCCCAACGGATCCCACCAGAGTTTCAGAAGGAAAGGAAAGTAAAAGGGCAGGAGCAATATTGAAAGGTGATGTCTCAGATTACTTTAAAGAACTGATGACACTATGCAGACTCAGGAAGTCAAACAAATCCCTGACAGAATAAAGGAGAAATAACTACAACTGCAGACATTGCGACAAAGCTGGGACCGGCGAGAAGGAAGCTCGGAGGGCACCGAGGCAGAAAGCAGGGGCACCCTGAAGGGGCCGACAGGGCAGCGGCTGACGCCCCGATGGTGAAGACAGAGCCATGGGGCACACGGGACCTACCTTCAACGGGAAGAAAGAAAATGACTGCCCCCCAAAACTGTACACCCAACTAACAGTTCGACTATGAAAGCAAAACAAAATTTTGGTTAAGAGGGTAATAAATATTGGCCCTATAAAATAATGATGAGATATAAAATGCATGCCATGATAAGTCAGAAGGGAAAGTTAATGGAGTTTAACTGGTCAAAATTCCATTTTACTGTTTATTTGTATTGTTGGGGACAACTACAATTATTAATTGATCTTAGATTTTAATTACATTAAAAATTATATTTTATTATTTCTAGGGTAACAACTGTAAGAATAGAAATCAAGCAAGAAAGAATAAAAACATATGGAACTGGCAGGACAAACAAAAACTCAAAAAAGATGGTAAATTTAAACATAAATATACCAGTAATTACATTAACTGTGAATGGACGGAATGCATAGTTAAAAGATAAGAATTGTTAGATGGATTTAAATTTAAAAAAAATATATATATATATACATACACACACACACACACACACATATATGAATGAATGACAACATAGATTTTAACATGAGAAGCACTATGAGAGAAAAACAGTCACAACATAATAATAAAAATTTCAGGTCTTCAGGATGAAAAAGTAGAATTATAAATTAACGGAAATTGGTAATACTATATATTAAAATTTGTGGGATGCAGGTAAGCCATGCCTAGAGGGTAATTTATCATCTTAAATGCATAAGGCTGAGAATCAATGAAAAATGAGAGCAAATCAGATGAAAATCCAAAAATAGGTAACTAAAGATTTGAGAGCAGAAATTAACAAAATAGGAAAAACAAAAACGTATAAAATTTGAGAGGATCAATAAAGCCAAAATTTGAAAAGACCAAATAAACCAATAATGCTTTGTTGAGACTGATCAGGGAGAGATGAGACAAGCACAAATAACCAACATCAAGAAAGAAAATGCAGCTATCATAACAGATTATATATATTTGAAGTATATTATCAATATTTTTAATAAATTTGAAAATTTGGATAAATTGGACAGATTCCTGAATAACTGTCATTTATTATAACAGTCTCAAAAAAACAAAAAACAAAACCCAGAAAATCAACAACTCTATATTGTCCTATTGTAATTATCAAAGAAAATTAATTAGTAACTCAAAATCTCAGAAAACTCCAGGCCCAGATGGTTTTATTGGTGAGTTCTAGAAATCATTCCAGGGAAAAATAATTCTAATCTTACACAAATTTTTCCAGAAAACAAAGAGTGAAAAACTCCCCAAACTCATTTTAGAGGGCTAATACAACCTTGATTTAAAAGAAAAAATGTGTAAGAGGAAAATACAGGATGAAAACCTAACGTATAAACATAAGATGTACAAATACTAAAAGAGAAAAATAAAAATAAAGTACAGCATAGTATAAAAAGAATACCAAAGGGTATCTAAGATTACAGGTTAATTTACTAACAGAAAATCAGTTACTGTAATTCATCGTATTACAGATTAAAAACAGAAATTACAATCTCTACAGAACACAAATAAAATGTGATAATATATATTCATGATTAAAAAAAATAAAACTCTTGTAATATAGAGAAACTCCCTTATTCTAACTAAAAGAAAAAAAGAAAGTACAACATACGGCACTGAAAACAGAAAAGCGTTGCCCTTGGAGGCGGGGAGGCGAGGATGCCACCGTCTCTACTGACTCCCCCACGAAACACCGCAGGTCCCATCGAGCGCAGCCAGGCGTTAAAAATGAAAGAGGAGAATAAAGGCTACATCAGCCATGTTGGAGTAACTGGGACTGGACTTACCTCCCACTTCAAACAACTAGAAACTCGGACAAAATAGATGAACGAGGGTTTTCAGACAATGGACGACGGTCAGTAGAAACTGTGGTCACAGAGAAGGGCACTAAGTGAGGGGAGCTCTACCACACCCTCAGATCACTGCCTGGAGAGGTTTCCAGGGCACAGCACAGAAGAGGGAACAGAGCGGGGCAGCCCTGAGCAGAGGAGACAGAGAGGTCAGGGAGCGACGCAACTAGAACTTTCGGGCAAGCGCACGGGAAGGAGCTACACCACGGGTGCACTGCACACCTGGCGCGGGCCCCTGGCCTGAGCAAGCACCGACCTGCAGGTGCGTACCAGGTGAGGGACACTCACGACCATGGCCTTTTCCTGTATTCTGATAATGTGGCGGTTACAAATCTACACACTTGTCAAAGTGAATTGGATTGTACATGGAAAAAAATCAGTGCATTTTATTTTTTCGATGTAAATTATGCATCAATAAAACACTTAAAAAAAGAATTGGAAATATAAATGTCACTATTTGCAGATTATACTATTACATAGACAGAAAATCTAAACAATATTAGAGGTGAATTGTTGAAATTAGAGAATTTACAAAAGTTGCTGTATATAAAATCGATATTTCTATACAGTATTTCTATAGAAAATGAAATACTTTTAAAAGGTACCATGAGATCATCAAAAATGCCAAAGACCTAAGGACAAATGTCAGTAAAACAATGTAAGACCTCTAGCTAGAAAGTTATTTAAAACTTGACAAGATTCAAAGCGAGACGTGTCTGGCCTTCGCCTCTGCCACTCATTTGCCTCTTCCAAAATGTGCGCACGAATCATTTCTTGAAATTGAAAGCAGAACACACGCAAGTGCTGAAAGGGCTAATGTAAGTTACCTAAAGAGAGTCAACTACGCAAAATATTTTCTCTCTAAAGCAAACTTTAGAAAAGTAGGATATTAATTCTAATAATGAAAATACGTACATTTCAAAAGAAGAAAAAGAACAAAAGTTATTATTGCTTTATGCCAATCTATTTCCCTTTCTTAGTTTAAATTTCATACAGAATCTACAATCAGTCTTTATAGTAACATAGGGGAAATAATATCATATAAAATAGAAATTTCACTATCAAACCTTTCCTGTAATAGATAATAATGTGCCTGGCTAATGTGCTTAGAATTTCACACATAAAATTCACGCACCATGGATTTGGCCATTTATATTTGCCATTTTATATCTTATTGTTTTCCCCCCTCACATTAACAAGTCTTACCTGAAAATTAGTACAAATAACCTAAGATACACTAAATTGGCCTATCAGAAAATAAAACTATTTTTGCTGAAACAGACATTTTAATAATGTAATTCAAATTATTCTAAAGAAATTAAGTAACTAAATATAAAAACGCCAATTTGTTAGTGAGAACAAAATATTGCTTAATGATTAAAAAAAATAAAAATCTGGGAGGGTAGGTCTGGATTTCCATAGTAAAAAAATTAAACCATAGCTCATGTGGCAAGAATGCAAATGCCCTAAAGTAAGAAAAATTGTTTTATTACAAGAAAGCACGTACCTCTCCTCTTTGTTTATCTGGTCACCAAAGCCCACTGTATTCACGATGGTCAGTTTCAGCCGAACATTACTCTCCTGGAGCTCATAGGTCTGAGCTTTAAGTCTAACGTGTGAACAAAAATGGGAGGATTCCTGGTCTTCAAAATTAGTATTGAACAATGTATCAATCAGTGTTGATTTCCCGATTCCAGTCTCCCCTGAAAGAAAAAGGTGCATCCTCACAGGTGCCCAGAATGGGTGTGAAAAACAGAACTGTCAACTCTTAGAGTGGTTTCCAGGATCCCAAGTATTTCAGATATTTCAAAGGCTGAGTTGTCCATGAAAGCAATACCTGCTACGGGTGGTCCAGTTAAGTCATTAGCAGAATATAAAAAATGAGTATGTATGCTAAGTAACTCAGAACTCTGAAAAAAGTACTGAAATGTTTAAAGAACAAACAAAAACGTTAAAGCAGTACAGCTAAAAAGAAAAACACGCATCCTGGCCAGCATGCCTCAGATTGCTGAGCATGATCCCTGCACGCAGGCCAGGTTCCAGGCTCCATACCCAGCAGGGGGCATGCAGGAGGAGGCAACGGACTGATGTTTCTCTCTCCCCCTCTCTCCCTTCCTCTCTCTGAAATCAGTAAAAACATATTTTAAAAAATTAAAAGTAAAAATACTTACAGAACTTAAATAACTGACAAATATCTGTGATCATGACCTCAAACGGATAACACAAGCACACACAGCTCACAAGAACGAAGTGAGCACCAGGACCGGGAAAGAACAAGTCCGAGAAGAGGGCAGCCTTACCCACACAGAGAACATTGAAACAGAAGCCTTGCTGGATGGATCTGTTGACCAGCTGATCGGGCAAACTCTCAAAACCAACGTGGCCAGACATAGTTAAGGAACGAGGATTTTCTCTTTGCTGCTGAAGAAAAACAAAACAGCAACGATAAAATAAAAACTTTTACTAAAATAGGATACAAGCAAATTTGAAACAATAAATATATCAAAGAAACTAAAGATTTTATAATCATTATACCTCCCTAAGATACAACTAAGTCAATTTGTGAGAAATGTGTCGACCCTCATAACATGTATTTCTTCTCTTCATATAATAAGTACAGCACTATTTTTAACATTAAAATATTTGATTTCTAAAACAGGAAAATACCCAAGTAAACTATGGCATATTCTGGTAAAACAGAATGTTTAAAGTCATTAAGATGTTGTGATACATTTTTAATAACATTTTAATTTTTTTTGCCTTTGATCAGGTTTTATTGGAAATTAGCTGTCCAATGTCACAAAATAAACAAATACAGTCCATGTCTCTGGCTTCTTTCTTCTGTGGTGGTTTCTTTCTGTGGGTTTCTCCTCAGCTGCTGGTTTCCTGGTCGCTGCGGCTCATCCCACCAAAGGCTCCTTCTGCTCCATCACACGGGCGCCTTCCTCCCTCTGTCCCCCCCCCAGCCCTTCCCGCCTGGACCCCTCCCCCGGGCTGGCTTTGGGTACTGCTGCTGCGTGCCCCCCGCCCCCCCGCCCCGAGCGCCGGGGCTCGGCCTGACCAAGGTGTGCTCAGTGCACGGTCTCTGCACACGGGTTTGGCTTCGACATGACTCTCAGGTTTTTCATAGATTCTTCTCCAGGACTCCGAATCTTCTTGCGTGGTGCCCAGAGCACTCTCTGGACCCCTGGGCTCTGCCAGATTCTGCTCAGGTCTGCGCGGAGCAGCTCGTGCCCGGGCGGCTGTAGTCACTCCTGAGGGTGGCAGCCGCATGCCGGGGTACAGGCGTCTCACCCGCAGGCAGCGGCGTCTCACCTGCAGGCCGAGCGGCCTGCCTCACCAGTGAGTGTGGAAGCTCCGTGTGCTCACACATGGGTGGGAGGAGCTCCGGGGTGGGAGGAGCTCGGGGCGGAAGGAGCTCGGGGAGGGAGGAGCTCCGGGGTGGGAGGGGCTCGGGGCGGGAGGAGCTAGGAGAGGGAGGAGCTCCGGGGTGGGAGGAGCTCCAGGGTGGGAGGAGCTCCGGGTGAAAGGAGCTGGGGGAGGAGCTCCGGGATGGGAGGAGCTCGGGGGTGGGAGGGGCTCTGGGGAGGGAGGAGCTCCGGGGCGGGAGGAGCTCGGGGGTGGGAGGAGCTCCGGGGTGGGAGGAGCTAGGAGAGGGAGGAGCTCCGGGGTGGGAGGAGCTCGGGGCGGGAGGAGCTAGGAGAGGGAGGAGCTCCGGGGTGGGAGGAGCTCCGGAGTGGGGGGAGCTCCGGGGTGGGAGGAGCTCGGGGCGGGAGGAGCTCCGGGGTGGGAGGAGCTCCGGGGAGGGAGGAGCTCGGGGCGGGAGGAGCTAGGAGACGGAGGAGCTCCGGGGTGGGAGGAGCTCGGGGCGGGAGGAGCTAGGAGAGGGAGGAGCTCCGGGGCGGGAGGAGCTCGGGGCGGGAGGAGCTCGGGGCGGGAGGAGCTAGGAGAGGGAGGAGCTCCGGGGCAGTTGAGGTCCTGAGACACCGCTGTCCTGTGCAGATGCCAGGCCCCTGTGAGGCCAGGACGGCTGTCCATTTCCCCTGCCAGCTCTCACTCGCCCAGAGGCACAGACCGCTTGAGAAGCAAATCGGCCTCTTTGGTCTTCTTGTAGCTTCACCTGTATCTTCTACCAGCAAAGGAGTTTGGGAACCTCCTCAACAGGACCTTCAGGTGACAAGCACCGGGAAGGCCGAGGCAGCCAGGGCAGAGCCGGGGCACACCCCTGCCCTGCCGGTCCCTCCGCGATGCCCACGGCGCAGGTTCTGGCCGGTGAAAACACGTGGCCCCATGACACATACTTCCAAAGCACCCGGACAGACGATGAGCCCCTCCCTCAAACTCTGGGGCCTGCGGACAGCACCCGAGTACTCAGCGCTGGCGTGATGCCTGCCAGGTCCCGGAAGCACAGGTGTCACTGCTTCTGCGCAGGCGCCTGGGAGCCAGGCCCAGGGAGCCTGAACACCGCAGAGTGGTGTTCTGCAGGATGACTCCCCCCCTTCCACAGAACACTGATGTGCCAGTGGACAAGGGCACCCCCTGGCACGAAGAGGGGCTCCCTCATCTCCACCTGGTGGCTACCCCAGGAAAGGAAGATTTTAACTCTCACATTACAATGTGAAATGGAAAAGGTATAATACAGAGTTACCTACAGTTCCAGCACCCAGCAGTGGCAGGACAGCGTATATCACACTAACCTCCCTACTAATAATCATAATCAATAGTCAATAATCAGTTTTTTCAAGGTCCTGGAGTGCAGCCAAAGGCTGATGGACACCGTAGAGGAGACCCTCGAGAGAAGGAAACTGTAAGGGGAGACGACGGTTACTAGCATCTCCCGAGGGTCCTCCCGTCACTGCTGCACAAAGAAGACACAGCCCAAACTGAGGCGGCCACCGTGCTGGGCTGGCAGGCCAGCTGGAGACAAGGGCAAATCAGCTGAAAACTAGAGGACATTCCAGAAAGGACGGGTCCGAAGTCGGCAAGCACACTGCCCTCAGCCCTTGGCTGGCTGCTGAGCACGCGTCCAGGGGAAGGCAGAGTCCACAGGGGGAAGGAGTGGGGGAGCTGTGCAGAGCTCAGGGGCGCCGCCTGGAGCCTGGGTTTTACGTCTGTAACACCCGATAGTAGAATGTATGACGACGAGAGCAGGGAAGACAGAGAGGAAGTGGCAATGCACGTGTCATGCTTCCTGTTACACACAAACAACAATGCTGTCTGAGTGGTGTGTCAGTAAAGCTGCATCAACTACTATTTTAAAACATTTTAAATGCAGAGGTATAGCTAATAGGCCAGTAGGGAAGATAAAAATACTCTATTAATCCAAAGGAAGACAGGCTAAGGGAAAAAAATGAAAGAAAAAACCCAGAACACACAGCAAATTGGTAGACTTAAACTCGGCTATAACTACATTAAACATGAATGACCTAAACTAGCTCTACCCAAGGACTTCCTGTGATGATGGACATGTCCTGTCTCTGAGCTGGACAGCAGGTACCCACCAGTCACACACAGATTCTAAGCACCTGAAATGTAGCTAATATAACTGAGGAAGCGATTTTAAAATCTTATTTAATTATAACTAATTTAAACTTAAATAGACACATGTGGCCAGTTGCTACCATACTGGGCAGCGCAGGTCAAAACAGTTCAGATAGCCCTGGCCGGTCTGGCTCAGCGGTTAGAGCGTTGGCCTGCGGCCCAGAGAGACCCGGGTTCGGTTCCCGCTAAGGGCATGTACTTGGTTGCAGTTTGTCCCTGGCCCTAGTTGGTCGTGCGGGTGGCAGCCACTCGATGTGTTCCTTTCACGTCGATGTTTCTCTCTCTTTCTCTCTCCTTCCCACTCTATCTGAACAAAAAATGGAAAAATGTTCTCAGGTGAGGATAAAAAAAAAAAACAGTTCAGATAGAAGAAGGAAACCGTCCAATTGTCAACGTGGTAACTGAGACACTGATTCTAAATTTTATATGAAAATGTAGATTCAGAATAGTAAAAACAGTTCTGTAAAAGAACAAAACTGAAGGACATATACTGCTTACTCAAAGCTACAATCATCAGGTTGAGACATAAAAAGGGCTGAGGAGGTCCCGAGAAGCAGGTTTGAGGATGAAGGGACTCGAGTTCCCCTTGCTGCACAGGTGAAAAGAGCCACACAGCCAGGATCTAAGATGATACGGAGCCGAATTCTGCCAACAACCTGCGTCTGGAAGGGGACTCCAGGTGAGACCCGCCAGCCAACATCGAGTGGGACCCAGACACAGACGCCAGCTGTGCTGTGCCCGGCCTCTGACCTACAGAACTGCAAGCTAATGAATAGGTGCTGCTTTGGGCAACTCAGTGTGTGGCCATTAGTTACAGAGTAAGAGAAAACTAGTACACTGCGTTTTCTTTTGTGCCCTTTCAATCCCTTTAGTCATGTAAGCACATTATCTTTCAATCCCTTTAGTCATGTAAGCACATTATCTTTAAATTTACAGAGAGCTCGAGAAGAAACATGGTGCTCTCCAGTCACAGAAGCACTCAAGAAGATCGCAATACCACTTGTTATCTGGGAAGCATGTGGGAAGGTCTGGCTGTAGAATCCCTCCTGGCTCTAAAGCTACATAATTTTAATGTCATGAAAAGAAAAGAAGCTTTGGAAATATGGGGTTAGTCACCATAAATTATCTGAAGAGAGGCCAGAGAAATGAGAAGTAAAAATGACCGCTTGGTGGATTAGTCACTAAGAGACTACTTGTCACCGTGACAGTTGTTTGAGCAAAGCACCGTGTAAGAAGGCCTGTTGGGAGCAATTCAGGCCTGGCCAGTGCAGCTCTGTGGTTAGAGCGTGGGCTCGTAGACCAGAGTCACGGGTTCGATTCCAGTCAAGGGCACACACCTCAGTTGCGATTTGGTCCCCAGCCCTAGCCAGGGTCTTGCAGGAGGCAACCAATCAATGTGTCCCCCTCACATCGATGTCTCCCTCTCCCTCCATCGCCCTCCTTCTCTCTCTCTCTCTTTCTCCCCCACTCTATCTGAGGATTAATAGAAAAATATCCTCGGGTGAGAATTAAAAAAAAAAAAAAGAGTAATCCAAAGACTTCAAGGTGATAAAACAAAGGTAAAATATACTATTATTACCAATGAGAGAAAAAAATGGAAAGGATGGCAGTTGGCGATCTGATTGTGATTTATCAAAACCACAAGGACTCTTGCATGTGTGCAGAAAAAAGGGACAAGAAGAGACTTAACTGGAACACAGCTCAAGGAAATCATCTGATCTTACTGAATCACCCATGCTTGTATCTGCAATTTTCTTTTTAAAAAACTGACAACGCCTCTTTCACCAAGTTAAATTCCTCCTTCTTTTTAAATATAGATTTTAATATGAATTACTGAAACACATCCCTGCAACAGGGCACATTTCAGACCCTGGAGACATTACGGTCTGACCTCGCATTCAGGAGGGCATCTGACAGGGACACCCCGCAACTTCCTACACTTCCACACCCACCAAGTTCTGCAAGTACGCTCAGCAAAAGCAGTGCTAGTCTTCAGTTACAATCCTAATTTGCTTAACGTCAAGTAGGAGAAAGACTGGATATGCAACAATTATTCAATCCGTCATCAATTTTTAACTTGAATCAACATAGAAGTTAATCCACAGGCAAGGTAAGTACACGATAACTCCAAACAGGCATGCGGAAATCAGAGACGTCTGAAGCTCTCCGTGGATCTACTGCAAAGGTGTACTCACTCTCTGTTCATGGTCAAACACTTGGGATGACATACACGATTTTGCTGTCATGTGAGACGGGAAGAGCTGAAAAACAGTAGAAGGAAATATCGACATTACTCCCAAAAATCCTATACATATAATGTGTTTACATTAAGAAGAAGTTCTAATGTTGTCATTACTATCAAATTTGGACTAGTCATCTACAAAACTGACTCTCATGTTTGAAACTTTTCTTGCTAGACAGATTCTCTGCATAAGTAAATAATATATAATATTCAGCATATAATAAACATGAATGTGCTTATCCACACAAACACAAATAGTTAAAAAAACAGGGTATGTCAGCCCTGGCCGGTTTGGCTCAGCGGTTAGAGCGTCAGCCTGTGGTCCAGAGAGACCTGGGTTCGGTTCCTGCTAAGGGCACGTACCTCAGTTGGTTTGTCCACGGCCCTGGTTGGGTCGTGTGGGAGGCAACCACTCGATGGGTCCCTTTCACATCGATGTTTCTCTCTCGCTCTCTCTCTCCCTCCCACTCTATCTGAAAAAATATGGAAAAATGTCCTCGGTTGAGGATACAAAAACAGGGTATGTCCAATTACACAAAGGAAAACAAAGAACATCCCTTATATTTGAAAGACTTTAGGAGATTAAAAAAGGAAAATAAGCTATTTCACTTAAAAAATACTCCAGGAGCCAAGAGGCACTCACAATTCAGTACATTCTACTGCAGCAGGTCTGGGCAATGGATATGTTAATACTCCAATTTCAATACACAGTCGGCCCTCATTTATCACAGTTAGTCAGTCCCAGACTCTGTCGTGACAAACGGATTTCCGTGAGCAGGAGTCTTGACTTACACACAGTGGGCCCTCGTTTATCACAGTCAGTCCCAGACTCTGTCGTGACAAACGGATTTCCGTGAGCAGGAGTCTTGACTTACACACAGTGGGCCCTCGTTTATCACAGTCAGTCCCAGACTCTGTCGTGACAAAGGGATTTCCGTGAGCAGGAGTCTTGACTTACACACAGTGGGCCCTCGTTTATCACAGTTAGTCAGTCCCAGACTCTGTCGTGACAAACGGATTTCCGTGAGCAGGAGTCTTGACTTACACACAGTGGGCCCTTGTTTATCACAGTCAGTCCCAGACTCTGTCGTGACAAAGGGATTTCCGTGAGCAGGAGTCTTGACTTACACACAGTGGGCCCTGCACTTCCTGCTCCCACGTTCGCGGCTTCACTTCATTTGAAACAACAGCAACCGAGCGAAGCCGGGAACGTCGAAACGCAAAGTGGAGGGCCGACTGTAGCTGGGAAAGCAGGGATTTAAAAACGTGAACATGTCCCTTAGTTATCCAATTAAAATAGAAATAATTATCATTTATAAAACTATCATATGCCCATCACTATGCTAGCTTATTAAATACATCTTCTTACTTAAACCTCACAACACAGCTGAGCTGTAGATCCCACAGCCTGCGGGGAAACCGGGTTCAGAAGGGGTAAGGAAGGCCAGGAGGCCAGGTCTGACCGGACTGCGCAGCTGTTCCTTCTACTGTCCCAAGCTGTAAACCAGAACACAGCCAGCGTGCCTGCGGCAGTCAGGGACGGGGAGGAGGGATGAGCAGCGGTGTGAACCCCAGAGCAATGCTGCCTCAGAAGGCACCCAAGGTCCAGAGGGCACGCGTGCATTTCAAAAAGTAGTATTAATACGGACCTACTGAGAACACATGCCAACTGTGCAGATGAGAATACAGTGCACAGTAAGCTCCCCTCCTGCCTCTGATTCCCTAGCACCTCAGCAATTCTGCTCCCCGGAGACCACCAGTTTCTTGTGCCCCCTTCCAGGGATAGGCCACGTGTGCAGAAACACATGGGTATGCAGGTCTCCTTGGTTTATGGGAGAAGCCTACTGCTCTGTATTGTTCTTTTGATTTGTTTTGGAATTTTTTTTTGCTTAACCTATCCTAGAGACTGTTTCTCCAGCATAGCACTCCCTTCTGTATACTACAGCACATACAGATGTCCCATGTTCATGAAACAGCCCCTGGTCTTCAACTACAATGAACTCTGCTGCAGCGACGAAAAGGGGAACCTTAGCACTGCAGCAAGGGAGGGGTGTTTCTACGCCCCGTCCCTCCACCCACCCACCCCGACCCATGATCCCACACACACAGGTGCACTTCATGACTGGACATTACAGCATGCTAACAACACCTCTTCTGGTCCATACGGGCACTCTAAGCTCCGGAAGGCTGGCCTTGGTAAGTGATCACTGCACATACAGTGTTTCCAAGTCCTAAGTAGCCGACTGGACACACTGTTCCAACATGAAATGCCTCTGATCAGCTGGGAGATGCCACTGTACGTACACCTCCTGGCAGTTTCACAACTGAAAAAGTAAGAGCTATAGCCCAGCAGTGTGGCTCCGTGGACTGAGCATCCCCCCACGACTGAGAGGTCCCAGGTGGATTCCCAGTCAGGGCACAGGCCTGGATTGTGGGCTCGATCCCCAGTGGGGGGTGCCAATCGATGTTTCTCTCTCACATCAATGTTTCTATGGCTCCCTTCCTCTCTCTCTCAAAAATAAATAAAATTTTTTTTTTATCCCCACCTGAGGACATTTTTGCATTTATCTTCAGATAGAGCGGGAGGGAGAGAGAGGGGAAGAGAGAGAGAAACATCGATGTGAGAGAGACACACTGACTGGTTGCCACCCACACGACCCCAACCGAGGCCGAGGACAAACGTGCCCTTAGCAGGAACCGAACCCGGGACTCTCCGGTTCGCAGGCCGACACTCTAATCGCTGAGCCAAACCAGCCAGGGCATAAATAAAAACATTTTTAAAAATAATAAAAAGAAAAAGAAGTACCAATGATACAAAACACATCAAAATGGCTTGAAGTTTTATCTTTGTTTTTAACTATACAAATACGTCAGCTTACTCCCGCCAGCCAGCCCCGCCATGGTGAGAAGCCCCTTCACTTGTCACTGTGCGGGCCTAGGCGGACGCGTCCCTCTCCTACGCCAGGACAAGCGGTGACAGGGACCAGAAAGACCGTGGTCGTTATGGAGCTTTGGAGAGAGAGGTCACTCAAGGGTTCAAGGCCAGAGCAGTTTCTGGGAAGACAATGATATTGAACTGAGGCGGCATGTAAGGTAGAAAAAACCCTGAGCACCAGAAACAGGCAAAATTTCCTGTCTGGAGAAAGTGCACAGTGGTTACGAAGTCAGGGAAGAACAAAGGGTTCACTGGTCTGCTGCAAAGTCATCGGTGAGGCTGAAAACAGATGAGGGCCACTAAGATCAGCATCTGATCGAGAGGTCTGAAGCGCCCATGTAGAGCCTGACTCGTGGCAAAGGCAGAAAAGTGCCACAGAAAGTATCTTTTTAGGAGCCTTGTTCAGAGCCTGCACTGAACTGAGAGCAGAACCTTCGCGCCGAGTCACCGCCTCGTGTGACAGTATTGCTCACAGCAGTGAGGGAGGTCAGGTGCCACCCACCCGACTACCTGGACACTACCATCTCCACTTCTAACCTGGAACTTGACCTACAATTAAACTTTTAAAAAATCATAGTGAGAAAGTAGTCAGTTTTTAATATGATGGACAACATATGACTAGATTTTTGTGAAATGCTGCCCAGTGAGCAGTTTAGTTGGTAAGTAAAATCTGCTTAGAAAATAGTTAAGATTGGTTTTGTACTCACTTTCTAGTAAACTTTAACTAATAGAATCTGGGTTACATTTCTGTCATTCACATAAGTGCATATCAAATATCTGCTTTTGTTTATTCATTTCCTGTGTTTCTGAACACTTTCCAAAAAGCCTCCTTCTCTGTGGATAAATGTTTTGACCAGGAAGTAAGAATGAGTCACATGAAGCATTATAGATCGTTTCTAATATTTTCCACTGCTATCACTTTACTAGGCAAATTTCCAAAACAACTTTTAGAATGAAAACAGTTTCTAATAAGTGAACAGGACATTACTGAAGATAAAATAACAAGGGGACAAGCGATGACCCAGGCCCTCCAGTGGTGAGCCCTGAATTAAAAACACCTCCGGGAAGGGGAATCCCATCTGCTCCATCCCTGACCACCTACTTAATACGTGCAAATCATCACCCGGGCCCTGGGGTCTTGAGAGGAGTAAGACACAGCCCTTGATCTTAAGAACTCACCTCAGAGGAATACAGCTCATGGCAGGCAACCATAACCTCATCGCAAAGCACAAGGAAGACGTGCAAAATCACTATACTGCACTTGACTACACAGCCACACAAGTTTGCTTTTTCTGTATTTTAAGTACATACACATATACACACACACACAGAGAAATACACATGGAGAGCATGGGCAATACTACAGAGGTGGCCCAGCATCTGTCCCGGGGCCTCTGGGGGACATGCAGAAGAGGGTATTTTCCTATTGGCCAATCACGGGAAAACACTGGTGATCCCTCCACAGTAGGACCCTTGCCCTACTTGGAAACTCTCCTTAGAGACTGCCTTATAGCCTCTCTAGGTGTAACAGAATTGGGGGAACAGAATTCTGACTTGAATTTAAAAATATCTTCATTTTAACTTCACTTTCCCACAATTTTTATCTTTATAAAGTTAAAGAAATAGAACTAAAATTTTGCACTGTCCCTCGGTGTTTCTTGGAGACTTTTAAGACCAAATAATAATAATAATAATAATCCGGGCCTAGTTAATGGGTTTTGAGAGGGCAGAATTCTTTGGCTTAAAATATAATTTAGAAGATTATACAGATTCATTGTTTAAAGTCACTTTCTTAAAACTTCAGGTTAAGGAAACTTTAAAATAAAGTACATACTGTTGATCTAATATTTTCCTAAAAATAAGTAGTAATATTACCTTATTTAAATTACTCAAAGAACAATTCTAGAAGTAGATGGTAATCAGAACCCAGGAAAAACATAATTCAGTGGAAATCAGTAATACCTGGTAGGTAATAGGGCCCCGTGTCCACGCTGGCCCTGTGTGCACACTGGCCCCATGTGTACGCTGGCCCCGTGAGCATGCTGGCCCCGTATGCACACTGGACCCATGTGCACGCTGACCTC